TGAAAATGACTCGAACGTTTCTAGTAATGCAGGTTCATCTTTGTCGGAATAGGTGCATGTTCAGATCAGACTGATGATAATAAAGTTTTAATAAGGCCATTTCCGAGTGGCCCAAGCCTCTGTTTCAAGGCGAAACTATGTGCAAACTAGCGAACTATTGATACGAAAATTATTTCTTATTCTCATCCAAAAAAAACCTCATTTTCACAAGAAAGGTTTTGCACGTAGCCTCGTTTTGAAAGTGAGAGGTTTTGGAACTAGGGAATGGCCTATTACACCTTGCCTTTCCTCCAATGTTTGTTTTTCTTCTATCAACGAAGAAAGCTGTGTCTCCAACTCATCTAATACTAATCTTTGCTCCTTTTTCATCTCAAGAACGCTATCCTTTAATGTTTGATTCAGCTGCTGCGAGTCTTCGAGTTGTGATTGTATCGCTTTCCTCTCGTCTTCTTTTCTTTTGCATTCCCCCTAAAGAATTTGCGAAAAACATTTCATTTCCGAGACCATTTAAAATATTAAGATCAAACTGTCTTCTCCAATGTACACAATAAATTGTTTCTCACCGCATTCAAACGTAGCATTTCTTCTGTATTCTGAATTTGGACCTGCTGTGATGTGATGAAACTTTCTTGCTTCTTTACCTTGTCTTGAAAAGATTCTGTAATATAATGTACAGAATTTTATCTCAGAACAAGGTTTATAATTTATCAAATACTGCTTTCCAGCACTAGAGCAGGTAGCCATGGTATCCCTTCATGAAAACGTGTTTTGTTTTGTCAGTACTACTATTTAATTACCTAGCTGGTTCTCTAGGAAAGTTAACTCCTCTTTGCTGTTCTCGAGAACTGCTTCTATTGTAGCAATGTGACCCTCCTTTGCCTTTTTCTCGTTCTCGAGTAAACAAATCTGCATTATAAAGAACAAGCTTTAGAACCTTTTCTCGAAAAGGTGTCTGTTATAACCGCAGCAGGAGGAGCGCTTGGTGGGAGGTTCCACAGTTGCGTAAGAGAACTGAAGAAGTACCTGACTCTCCGCTTTATCCATTTTTTCGGAAGATTCCAAGACATATTGTTTGTGGTCCTTTATCTGTTCCTCAACTGAAAGACAAAAAAAGATCAATATAGCTAATGTCCTTAGTCTGTTTATGGCTGAAATTCCGAACGTTACAGACGCAAGTGACTTACGTGTAACTTTTATTTCATTATATTTTGCTGTGTGTTGAATTTCCAGGTCTTGAAATTTGACCACCAGTTCCTATTAAACAAAATAATGACAAATAAATAATTTGGAATCATTATGTCTGTCATAGAAAGACGTCCGCGTAAAGACAAGAATTTTGTATTTTATAATGGTAAACTATAAAATGAATCCTGGCCTGAAACTGTTCCAGACGTTTTTTCTCTTCGAATCGAAGTTCGTCCCGGTCACTCTCTCCTGAGAAAAAAATCAGACGAAAAGAATAAAAAGATCTTTACTTCCCAACTTGGTTCAACACCACATAATGATTTGTCGCAAGCTTAACTGAATATCCATCTAGGAATCCCTTCCATGCCCACGTGACAAGGCTTAGTTAGAATGTAGATTTGTCCCGCCCATACGGCATAGAAGAAAGAAAAGAGTGGTTGGCAAGGTTGGTTGTACACCATAAATTAGTAAAGGAATTTAAGTATAAAATCATAATACTTACCCCTTTGTAGGTTTTCCCCCACCTTGGCAACATGGTCCTTCAGGGCGTTGCACATATCACGAGTGGAAGTGATTCTAAATGAAAGAAACCTTTTCCTATGAGCTATGAGGATATTTTCTAATAGAAAAATTCCAGTCATTTTAGTAATTGAAGTACCTTCTACTTCTCTTTTTTAAACTTACTTATGTTCGACCTCTTCTCTGTTTGCAAGCTCTTCTTGTAGCCTTGTGCTAAGGCTTTCATTCTGAAACTGTAAAGTTAACAACAAAAACAGCATGGAGCTTTTCTAAGAATTTTAAAAAGAGGAAACATACACCTATTTCAATAAATGTTGCTTTGGGAATCGTGCTTTGGTCCTTGAAAGCCATTGTTTGGTGGTCACTCAAGGAAAGCATTGCATTGTATTCTGCGTTTCAATGAGTTGACTAAATCCCAAAGCAACCCTTATTGAAAATAGGTGTATAAAGTTGAGTCTTTGTCTATCTTTTGTTTAAGTGGCCTACTAACAAATCGCTCGAAATCCTTCCATTGTGTTAGACGCTTTAAATGAACTGTGACCAAACTGATGCGTTCCCCCGTTAGAACATTTTCATAAAGTATCAATTTTTCCATTTCCTAACTGACCCATGCATCTTGTTTTAGAAGAGAATCCTAAGATCGATAGTATAATAGTACCACAACAAAACTTGTCTCGAAATATATGACTAGAAAAATGATTATTCCTTCAAAAGGCACGGGTTTGACTAAATTAAAAGTGGACTATTTTGTCTTGCTCATTCGGATTTCCATTCAATTTTACAAAATGGAAATGGGAAGCAAAAACGGCACAACTACCTGTGGGATGACCTCAAACTAAAATAATTCTAGAGAGCCTAAATAATTTGTCAGTTATAAGTATCTCATCTGGTATTTTTTCCCGCTTGGGGTTTAAAGTAATTTTTTGTTTTTTTACACTCATGTGAGTGACGATAATTCCTGAGACTTTTTTTGTTGAGGAGCCTGCTGTGCTAAATCCCAGGACTTAATTAAGTATTAGTACGTAAACTCTATACTATTTTTTTTTAACGCCATACTTGCAACTCAATTATGGACTTTCTCTGCGAATCAATCGTTTGTACTGCTTCTTGAAGCTTTTTCTCCTGTCAAAACAGAAGTACTTATTACTCACATCTTTGGTAAAGTGCACTTACATCAAATTAAATTGTTAATCAGTTTTAAAAATAGTTACGTTGATGACTGAGGGTTATAAATAGCTATTACAAACAACTGCCTCTAAAAACTGTAACGTATTGTAAGGACCACTTGAAAAAAGAGTAGGTATTTGCCTTGAAGGTGACATTACAGACCTTAGGCTCCATCAACTGACTTTGCCCTCTTCGAGCTTTTTTGCATTTTGTCCGAATTTTTCAGTATGTTAAAAGTTGGGAACTAAGGTTGGAACTTAAGTGGGTACAAGTCTGAGCTCAGATAGATACAGAAAAAATTATCCCCTGTAGAAGTAACCGGATGAAATTCAGGCTATAGCTCATGTTCTGAACTTAAAAAACTGAATGGTCATATCAAGTGGTGGTTGTGAAAGGACGGCGAATGCTGCCTCCTAAGGTCCTAACCTAATAAACTGCGATGCAATGCGAGTCAATTATTAGTTGAGAAACAGTTGTAACAGTGGGCATGAGATTGGATCTAGCTCTAATAAAAAATCCCTTGATTCGCCCCTGCTTATAGAGAGGTAAAGAAAATGACGAAAGAACAGCAGGGACCAACCAGTCTAAGTAAGAGAGACAGTTCATTTTATATAAAAAGAAGAGGTTGTGAATCATTCCTGGTTTCCGTGTACGATTTTGTGGCGATTACGATTGCGTATAGCTTATGGCTCAATCAATTCCAAGCATGCCTATCCCCCGTGGGCAATTTGTCCGGCATATGTCATTTCTTCTTAAGAAAGCTGCAAATGCCCCACAGTGGGACCAGCAGATTCCTGGAAGTAACCCCACCATGCCGCTTAAAAATGCGTGCAAATACCCCACCCTGGAGACGAGGCTCAAGGTATGATTTTTGAAAGAGTTCAAAATCTCAAATTCATTCGATGCGTAATTGGAAGAAATAATATTTACTTTACCGGTGAAACTGAAAAACAAGTGAACAAAGTGCTTACTAAAAATCAATTACGATGTAGAATATAAGCTTAGTGCTACCTGAGAGTTTTCCTAATACTCTTCGGACGGTCTTGACCTTTCTTACAACGACGAGAAAATGTAAGCTTACTTTTCTTTCAAAAGCGTCACTTTATGGGTTAAACCTTACAGTGGTAATCTTTGCAAACAAAGATTATATCTCTTCAAATTCTTTGCAAAGCTTCCCAAAGCTCTCCGTTGTCTTTGTCCAAAATAAGGAGCTCCCCTCTTTAAAATCACTTTCTTATCCAGGGGTTAGTGTTCGGTAAAGGCAAAAATTCATAACTGGCAAATTCTCAACTCCCGAGCAGACCACCGTAGGAGCACAGCACTTGATATATAAATGAACGGGGGATAAGTACGCTAGGGATTAAGCTTATATTGACTGAATTGTTTTTTGAGGATACGTCTAAACTCGCGAACATGTTCTGCGTAAGAGACAGAATTGGGAATTACAAGGTATTCGTACCTTGTCTTTTATTTCTATCTCTGTCGACGTTTTCCATTTCCGTATTTTCTCTGCTTCTTGATGTAGACGAGTGTGCAAGGTTTGGATTCTTTCTGCAGATTGCGCTCTTTCCTTTTCCACTTTCTCTGTTTCTAGAAGTATAAAAGGTAGGTTTATAAATTTCGTTCCTCGCAGTATATTAGAAAAATTGTATTTGATCACCTCTTTCTTTCTGCCTCGGAGTGTTGGGACGAAAGTAGTTACTGGAAGGTGAATTGACAGGTCGTATATTCAACTGATGCCCGTGAGACACAGATTTGATCGGACTTGCAAAATACGAGCTTGAAGTTAGAGGAGAAGGAGCAGAGCTTGTCGTTAGCTTGAATAATGGCTGCTGAATGTGATGCTTCAATTGGTTGTGAGCGTGGGATTGCATCTTTTGACTGTCACCTCCTTTGCCCAAGGCCAAAAAGCATGGTCTTGTAGTTTTAATCCGCAAGAGATACTCCAAGGAAACACAAAACGAAAAATCTTTGATTTGATGGCGTATTTCCTTCAAAGTCTAACGGTAGTCTAACAAAATTTTTGTCCGATTTCATTTTCCCGCCTCTTTGGCGGGCAACAACAGCCTCGTTTCCACGTTTAACTAGTGTCAACCCATGGCCTATCTTATCACGTGATTAACTTAGTGATGACGTTTCCAAACTTCTCTCGGAAGAAGAAAATGGCGGATCCGGCAGTGGGTCCGAAAGATATCGCTGCTATCTTCAAGCGTTTAAAATCTCAGCCAGAAAACAAGGTAAATATTTCATTAGTGAAAATTTGATTGTCTTGTCCTCTCGTGTATGGCTTGAAGTTTCCAATTTGTTTTCAGACTTGCTTTGATTGCGGACACAACAATCCAACGTGGGCATCAGTAACCTACGGGGTATTTCTGTGCATTGACTGTTCGGCTGTTCATCGATCCCTTGGTGTTCACTTAACGTTCATAAGGTAGAGGAAACAATATTAAGTTTGTGTTTTATTGTCCCTTCTCATTCTATTGGTCGTTTTGTGCGAAAAAAGCACATCGATTCCATGATCATTCGTACTTGGGATAAAGCTTGATCGATCATAAGTTCCTTAAGCTCATGTTTTTTTAAAAGTTTACGTGATCTCTTAATGGATGATATTTAACTTTGTTTTATTCCATTTTTTGAAGATCAACACAACTGGATACAAACTGGACATGGCTACAGCTGAGGGCAATGCAAGTTGGTGGCAACGCGAAAGCGGTGAGCGCTTATGAATTGTTGAGAAAACAAGATTTTAAAAATTCTTGTGGAGTTCGTTCACGGAACAAAATCGGTTGTTAACCAATTTAGCCTTTATTTCGACTGGCCTTAAGATTAGTTATAAAAGAATTCTTAGGGGTTATTCTATGGAATCTTTCGTGTCAAGTCATTTTGTACTCTCGAGAGGACCATTACGTGATGCTGATTTTTGTTAGCGAAATCTTGATTTTTTGGTTAAATCAAGCATAATGATTTAGTTTTCTTATTATTGTTCAAGAGTCACTGTTTTGTTTTCTTTTCTTGAAAAACTGACCGTAAATTCATTATTTCATTCATGGTAAGCGACATCTTGATCGTTAAATCAGCTGTTCTGTTTTTATTCCATTTTGGTAACGAAATTGGTTCTTTTCTTCAAATGACCTGTTGACCAGTGAAAAAAAAAATGTAATATTAATTTAGGTGGAATCACTTCCACTGAGTTTTCTTTAAAGCTGGGTGATCAATAACTTCGTTGCTCTGATATCAGACCTGATATAACACAGTATTTTTTGTTTGGTTACCATAATCTGCTCAAAGTCTCGACTTTGATTGGAAATAGGGGGACCTTTAAATAAGTTAAGAGGTTTTTGTATATTGGAATGAATCAAGGGGTTACTTTCAAATGATTCTGATGAGCAAAAAAGTTGACAAAGTATAATGTCCAGGGTGAAAACTTTGAAAACTGATATCTTAATTAAGCCACAGCCCCTCACTATGATGAAAATATTGCTCAAAACATCCGGTTTGTAAATCTCTTTACAGCAGAAAATGTACTTTATGAGTTGGTAGCACCAAGTTTCATTTTTCCTTGAGTGTTCCAAAGAAATCATGAAAATTGAAAGTAACCCAAAAGTACTACTGAGGCTCCCTCCACCTGTATCCAGGTATTTTTATAACTGCAACTTCAGGAATGTCACTATGATTTCAAGTTGCTGGGTAAATACAACAAGTAGGTGGGGAATAAAACAGCTAGAGTTTTCTTTTGGTTCAATTTTTCTTCTATTTTTCTATATATGGTTGTCCAAAGGGCGACCTACTATTTCGAATCCTGAATATTTCATTTAAATTGTGATACCATAAGATTTCATCCACATACTCAAAAGTTAGAAGTGCATGCTAGTAGATAAATAGTATCTTGTGAAAGGTCTGTTGAAAAGGTTCATTTTACAGAAGTAATGGCCATACCATAGTATTTAATGCACAAAATTTATAGTTAGAACAACTATACAACTGCATAGTAGGCATTTCAATAAAAATTGAAGTAGCCAGCAAGTTTGAATAGGGTAACCAACTGTGTCAAAAAAGGGCTGCCGGCCCTCTTCTTCTCAGGGGAGTCTAGGGGTGTGCTTGGGGTGTGCTCCGCCAGAAAATTTTATATTCTTTAGAAGCCGTAAAATGCAATTTTCATCATTCTGGGTACTAAATTTAGTAAAAGAAAGATATACATTAGCAAGACTTTTATCAACAGTACTGTAGTAATTTTCCTTTTGTCAATGCTGATCAGTAGTTTAATTAGAGTTTTGTCTGAATTGTTCTTTAACACTTCATTCCCAGCCTCAATTACGGGGTGGAAAGTAACCAACTTCTCTGAGCAAAGTAGCTGACACGTTTCGTCGGTCGTCGGTGCTTATTGAAACCCCTGAATTTAGAAAAGGCTGATTGCCCAATTTTCTCCTTGTTACATTTATGTGTGAAAATCAAAAAGTTGTGGAAATAGTATAGGCTCTTACAGTGACCTGTTGTTGTCCTATTTCCTTACTTTGTCTTTCTTCCCTTTTTGAATGTACATGTAGTGTTAAACTGGCCTGAAAATTTTTATAGTGAATTAAACAGAGTCCATTATAAGTATTTCCGTGTGTTTTTATTTTTCTTAGAATGCCTTCTTTAGGCAGCATAACCTTTCAACTGAGGACTCCTCCGCCAAATACAGAAGGTAAGTGATGCAGTTAGAATTATCATTTTTATTGTTTGGTTTTACAGAATGACGATAGGAACCAAAGCACATTACGGATATCAGCATGGTCTTCAGAGGCTGTTCATAAACTGGACGAATTTTTTTTAAAAAAGTGAAGTAAACATAACGTCAAACAAACATTTATTTGTGTACCAAGAGTTAGTTTCTTTGGTTATGCTTAACTCGTTATAGTCTGAATTTGTTTTGAAGGCGATAAATTTTGATTATTCTTCTCCTCATTATTAATTATTTTCACAGCCGTGTGGCACAAATGTATAGAGAGAAGTTGGCCACCCTAGCAGCGAGAGCACTACAGCAATATGGGACACAGGTATTTTGACATTTGTCATTTACACGAACATGTATACTTCACTATGAATAAATGCTAGACAGGGCTGTCACTAATGGATGGGGGCAAGGGATTTCCACCAGCTACTAGACTCTGTATAAGGATGACCCCTGGCTACTTTCATTTGAAAGAAAAGAAGATAGAACGAGAATAACTTCCTAGCTGTTCAATTCCTCATCCACTAATTGCACATCTTTCGTGACATCGTTGGCTTGAAGGTTCAAGTGTACTTCTTGCTGACAACAACAACAACAATAATGTTTATTTTCCTTTTTTAATTTTCACAAAAGTGAACTGACCCGCAGGTTGCTAGAGCTTATCTTGGCAGGCCAGTCAATTTACATGTAGGGAATAATTTTTATTCTTTTATGTACATGTTTGTCTATAAGTTGGTTTTCAAATATAATTCTTTAAACATTTCAGCTTCATTTAGATGGACATCATGGACCACAGTCTCCAAACTCTCCTGATCACAAGGAGCATGATTTTTTCAAGGAAGTAGAAAGTCAGTCTTTTGCACAAACTGTCACCATACCAACTAATGGTACCAATGGAAAGAATGGGAATGGCTCTGGTAAGTGTCAGTACATAGTATGTATAGCGGTCAGGGGCGTAGCCAGCTTTTTGACTATTTGTAGACCTGGCTGACTTTCATTTCCGCATATCCTGAAAATTGCATGCATGACTAGTCTGACCTCACCAACCTGACTTTGACCTCTTAAACTTTTTTGCTCACCCCAACAATGCATAATCAAACCAAAAATTTGTCAGCCCGGGCCTACAGGTCTATGAGCTGGCTACGCCCCTGGCGGTAAAGTTGCCTGTTTAGCTAAAATGTGAGAATTAGATTGAATGAATGATTGCTTCAGCAAGGTGAAAGAAAATATTGTATAATTTTATACAAGGTTCTTTTTTCAGCTCTCTTATAGGGCAGGAAAAAACCCAGGTCTGATTGCCCAGGGCAAGTAAAACTAGAAGTTTGGTAGCCCAGTAGGCAAGTGAAATCAGCCTCAGGGGTCCTGTGAGTCTGTCTGTCAGCTTGGTAAATGATTCCTTTCAGACACAAACTATTTTAAAACTAAATGTATTTCAAAACTAAAGACTGCAAGATGAGTGACTCAATTACATGTGGCTGAAAGCATGAATCAATTTAAAATCACAGTGCATGTTTGCTTGCTTGTGTTACTCCTCCAATCATGGTACTTGTCAAACCCGGTAGTTACTCTGAATTTAGCACATTATTTAAAGTACATGTACTAGTAATTTTATACACTTTGTCAAATACTATAACTTACAGCTGTTTTGTAGACAGTACCTGTGAACTATAGATGATATGTAAGGCATTGTGTTCCCCTGGGGCAAGAAATATTTAAGTTTGGGCAAGTGAAAAATGAAATGTTCTTGCCCACTAATTTTTTTCCTGCCCTGTTTCAATCACATTCACGTACTTACAGATACTTGCTTACTCACTTATGGGAGTATAAACCTACACTGTTTTCAACATTCTTTCATATTTCTTTCTCTACAGCTAACAATCTTCACCTAAACATGGATGGCTTGAGTGTATCTCCTCCAAAGAATCAAGGTATGTATATATTTTTAAATTCTATTGTTTAAAACATTCCCTCCCAGGGGGCAGCATGGCCAAGTGCCCAGTATTTTAGCCCTTAAGTTGTAATAGTGACCAACATCAATTTTCTCGTACTGTGGTCCATACATCTTCAAGTAAAGAGGCTATGAGAATTAATAAAACTTAGGATCACTAAGGAAAAATTGCGTTGTTCTTTTGTCAAATTCTCTCAACTACAGCACAGTGAAACCCTGTTAATACGGTCACCAGTGCGTCCAAAAAAATTGGCCACACTAACAGGGTGGCTGTATTACCAGAGTAGGGTCAAATTTCATGACTAAGGCCGGTAATGACAAATACACTGTACATCACATTCACAGTTCGTATACAACTGTGTTCTCTTTATTAAAAAACACATAACGTAATAATTGTACAAACTACTTGAAAATTGCCTTCAGTACATAAAACACTTGTAAAAATTGGCATCTGGGCGCCACAAATTGCA